TAGTCTCGGACGATAGCTTATCTTCTTGAGTTTGATGAATTCCTCGTACATAAGATTGACATAATATTTTGTGAAGAGCTTGAATTTACTTGATTTAATATTTGAACATCTAATATTATTAATGCTTATCAAATATAATAGAATTAAAATCTTATCATTGTTAGCGCGTGCTGTTCATTAAACAATGACATCGTTGTGTCAGTTAGTGACAATCACGATTACAATTCGTGTCATATTTACGTGACACGTGTCACTTTATATATATAAACAAAATTTAATGTCAATTTTACCGAATAAATGTCTATTTCTACTGTTGAAACGCCTAGATTTTTTTTTGGTTAAAGAGGAGTTGGAATTTGCGATTTTTTATTAAGAAATACTTGATGTCGCCAGCGACTCCGTTCGTGCGGTATTAAAAAACTTAATACGTAGCTACATGTTCTTCAAGACTAAATTCTACATGTATGCCAAATTTCAGCGAGGAGCGTCGGTGGCTCAGTGGTCAAGCACTTGACTTGCAATCTGCAGGTCCTGGGTTCGAACCCCGCCATGTATCAATGTGTTTTTCGATTTACATATGTACATTTATCCGACGTTCTTACGGTGAAGGAAAACATCGTGATGCAATCTGCACATATCTGAGAAGAAATTCAAAGATACGTGTGAAGTCAACCAACCCGCACTTGGCCAGCGTGGTTGACTATGGCTTAAATCACCCTTAACTTAGGGTAGGCTCCGAGCCCCTCGGTGGGGACGCATAGTGAGCTGATGATATCATGAAGATAACCAGTTTGTTAATTTAGTAATATTACTTGAAACCATTCCAAATAAGCTTTAGGCTTGTCCTAGGATATGGTTTAGTTTATCGCAAGATTCGAACCCTCGACCAGATGATCGGATGTCCGTATCGTAAACCATTACGCTATTGGTGAACATATGGTTAAAAATCCTCATAGCAACTAAAAGTCTTCCTCAAATCATAAAAACTGGCATAAAAAAAGGTTGGCCTTAGCCTAAATTGTCATATTATAAAAAAAGAAAGCGGTCGTCTAAATAACATAGATAAGAACGAATGGAATGTACAAGGAAGTGAGGATGCTTTTTTTTGTTATACTGCTCAGGATATCTTATCTGTGAAGTGTCTATTGCATTGCTACGAAATTCCCAAGTCGCTTCTATATTTTATGAATGATATGCCACAGAGTAAAAAAGTAGAGTACGACATTTCTTTTTTAATTTTATTTGTATTAGATATTATTTGTCAAACAATGATGTCTGAACATATAACATAATTGACAAATTTGTATTAAAATTTGTGAAGCAGGCATAAAGTACACCAAGATATTTTATACAATTTTAACATATATAAACTTGCTGTTGTCCGAGACTCCGTCCGTGCGGAATTAAAAAATGTTTTTTTTTAATGAATACGTGGCAAACGAGCGAGCGGCTATATGAAATTGCTGAAATAGCGAAGTGATCGTTGCCCATAGACATACGCAATTGCATATGCGTTGCCTACCTTTAATCGACGGAGAAGATGCACAGAAAAAACATTTTCCCTTTCAATGCATCCTCTTATCCGGAATCTTCAATCCTTTCCTTATGAAAGAAAAGGGAAGGGAAAGAGGACTACATTAGGCCTCCGGGACGCACACTCATCAGACGAAACGCGGAATTGCTTCCACTTGACGCCTGTCTTCTATATGGTCATGGTATTTCACCGGGCGAGCCGGACCAATTCGTGCGAAGATGTTAAAACGGGCTCTACCACCGTTAAAATGTGTTCCACCGAGCTATGTTCTACATCTATGCCAAACAGCAAGATCCATACAATCGTTCTGGTGTTTTAACATCCATACAAACATTCGCATTTAGTAAGATTCTAATTTATATTAGTTTACGTCAGCGTATCTATTGAGATGTCAAGGGTATAACCGGCGAGTATGGTACACATCGACACGTGCGCGACGTAAACAATATGATGTGCGTAATGTAAAGATAAGCAAGTTCAATAAACTCATTAATTCTCTCATTCATAATTTGTATGATATATGATATTGAAGATTAGATACTAGCCCTCGCCCGCGACTTCATCGGCACAGAATAAAACAAATATAGTTTAATCAAGAATATAAAGATCCTTTCTTGGATCCGCTACGATTTGCCCTCAAAATAACACTTACAAATACGCAAAGAAATTAGCTTCATATTTTTCCCTAGTAAGGTTCTTATATTTCTAGTCAGGCATATTGCCCATGCGTCCCGGAGGCCTAATTTAGTCCTCTTTCCCTTCCCACCCTTTTTCTCAGAGGGAATGAATGGGAAGTGTAAGTGGACTTTCCGGATGAGAGGATGCATGGAAGGGGAAAATATTTTCTTTCTGTGCATCCTCTCCTCCGTCGATTAAAGGTAGGCAACGCATATGCAATTGCGTATGTCCATGGGCAACGGTCACTTCGTTATTCAGCGATTTCAGGTGGCCGCTCGCTCGTTTGCCAACATATGATATAAAAAAAAATCCCGAGCACTACAGCTATCTTCCAATGGACTTCCTATCAAAATCACGATTCCGTCCGCGCGGAATTAAAAAAAAAACTTTAAAATTGGAATATGTGTTCTTCCAGACTATGTTCTACATGTATGACAAATTTCAGCGACATCTATTGACCCATTCTGATACCTTCAAACATCCATCTAAACATTCGCATATTAGTGAAGATTGACTAAATAACTTTGTTAAATAATTGCAAGTTCAATCATTGGCCTAGTTTTTCTTCTTGCGTGTTCATACGTCACAACAATCGCGCGATATGAGGTGATCGTGTTACAAAATTGTTGAATCAACATCACTCTATTATATGTCTTAACACAAGGGCTTAAGGGTTAATATCGCATTGTTACAAGTATACAACTATCGTCTAGAAATGTGAATAGAAATGTAACCTTTATTGCTTTTCTAATAGGTATTAAAATAGGTTAATGATTTTTTTTATTAAAAATTAATTAACGACTCAATTTTCTAATAATTTATTGTCCATTTTTTTAGAAGACAATTGGAAAACATATTTTTGTCTCTATCATTTTAAGGGAGAGAGATGAGATGGAATTTTATTTTTATTATTTTATTTAAAAATTGTAGGACAAATGAGTTATTTTAAATAGAAGTAATAATTTAAAATTACGTTACGAACAACCTATACTAATATTATAAAGAGAAAAGATTTGTTTGTTTGCATTGAATATGTTCCAAAACTACTAAAACGATTTGATTCTTTCACTGTTGGGAAGCTACACTATCCCCTGGTGACATCGACCATATTAATTACTAGATTTTTTTATTCCGTGCAGACGAATTCGCGGGCAACAGCTTATATTTAGTTGTAATTAAGTACACTTATATACGCAGTTTTATATACTTTAATATGAATCATTCGCTAGATTTTTACAAAAAGTTATGGATGAACATGACATTAAAAATAAAAAAATACACGCAAAAGAATATCGCAGGGCATTATGGTGACCATTTATTTTATGAAAATACGGAAAAATGAAAACATAAATTAATATCGTCGTCAGCTCACTATACGTTCACTGAGGGGCTCGGAGCCTACCCTTTTTTTTCAGAGGGGAATGCTTTATGCATACTCCGCGCCCCGGGGGGGACGCGCTAGTTATGTGGGATTCTCCTCCATAGCGGAGGCATACCCACTAAACCCCTCTGTTCCTCCAACGCATCGGGACGGGACCACGGGCACGCTTTCGCTCTCGTCCGCGGCCCAGCTCGGAGCCTACCCTAAGTTAGTGACTAGGTCAACGCTGGACCAGTGCGGGACTTCATATCTTAGAAATCTCAGATATGTGCAGCATCACGATGTTATCATCACCGTTAGCACGTCTGATAAGTACATATGTAAATCGAAAAACATATTGGTACATGACGGGATTCGAACCTAAGACCTGAAGGTTACAAATCAAGTGCTTAAGCCCTGAGTTACGGGCGTTCATGTAAATCATGTATTCCTGTGACCTTCAAAAGGCAGAGTTAAAAGTTTGACCTTGAATTATGTTCCCACTTAAGATCGTGTAGAGTTACACACGCGTTAATTGCATGATGCATTAAACGCATCACATTACGTCATCAGGAATTGCCAAGTGTTGCGAGTTAACGTCGGTTTACACTGCATGTAACGTACAGAAATATATTGTTATTGTTTTTTAGGTGTGGAAATTTTTTTTAATAGAAAAACTAACAGTCCCTAGCGAGTGCGTCCGCGCGATATACTACTGTTGGGAAGAAAATCCGACACTGTGCCGGTGTAATGGCGCAACACTAGCCTTACTAAAATGTCAACGTTTATGTCGCCTCACTAATCAATCTGTCACTTGACTTGACAACGAAAGCGCGCCATTCGCGTCAAAGGATTCTAACTATAATGTCTAAAACTATATATAAAAATCGGCACATAAATTAAAAGATACCGTGGCTTTGTGATTCCAATCTGTCTAAAACATATTGTCATCACTTTCTTTCTTTGACAAAATAGAGATATCAATATTTTTGAACGGAGATTTTTGTCTCAGAAACCTATGGTCGTTCTTTCAGACTATGTTCTAAATCTGTGCTATAACTCATCCAGATAAGTTGAATTTTCTATTATTTTATAAAAATGCAAAAAAAATCAAATTCGCGATTTAACGGCAACAAATTTTAATTTTTTTTTATCAATAAAAACGCTAAGAGGAAAATGTACAAAAAAAGGCAATTAAATGGAGTACATGTGGGGATACTGGGATAACACGAGTATATAAATGTAGTCTGAAAGTAGCAACATAAGGAAAAGATTTCATAAATATTTATAGGGGTACATTGGGGAATAATGGTAGGCCTAGGAGGAGTGTGTGCAAGGTAACATGGTGAAGAAGGGAGTGAGACTGAGATGACGGAAGATAGCCCTCACGGTGAGTGGGATAAGGACAGGTAGATGTTGACAACTCACCTTCTATTATCGTGGATACTGTTTAAAAAATCACTTGTAATTTACAAAATGTTTTCAACGTCTATTACTCACACATAGACATCGATATTAGAAGTTAATTGAAGCGATTATAGATTTAAATTCGTTAGGAATAAGAGCGATATTAGCTTGCACTGTAAGCTATGACAAAAGTAAACTGAATACGCTATTAGACGGCCACAATACTTTTATACAATCATGTACCAAACGTGTGTGAGTCATACAGTGGTGCTCAACTTTTTTTTTAACGGGTTATGGGATTGTATTAAGTTATAAGATGAAGCGATTTTAATATAATTAGTCTGATCTTTTCTTACGTACACAGTAAATACTCTATAATCCGTCATATTTCAATTTGTTTTTTTTTTATATTATAAGGTGGTAAACGTGTAAGCTACCTGGATTTGCCGAAATAGCGAAGCTATCGATGTTATATCACCGTTACAGATACGTTGCTACCTTTAATCGACACAGAAATTGTGTGGTTCTGACTTCAAAAAATGTATTACATGGTCGCTCTTATAAAGTTCCCTCGTTGAATTTAGCTGTAGTGTGAAATATGATGTATTAAATTTGCCCTTTAGTATCTTACTAATATTAATGCGAATGTTTCGATGGATGGATGTTTGTTAGAAAATATCTCCAGAACGGCTGTATGGATCTCACTAAAATGTGGCATAGATGTAGGACATAGTCTAAAATAACACGTAGGCTACTTATTAGGTTTTTTTTAATGCATGCGGATGGTGCGGACAGCTAGTATAACTTAGTAGCTAATAATAAATGAGAATCGCTTCCGCTTATGCCTTGTAACGCTGTAATACCGCTTGTAAGCGGATTTTTTTAAAAGATATTCGTTAGTGTTGTGATGATTGATTGCCATCTTTTATATCTTTTAAAATTAAATTGTTAAACATCGTAAAATTGGTATAATGCATTCAGTAATCTGAAGTTACGTTTAAGTAAGTTTTATTTTAATTTTGGGTTAACAGAAAGAGAACTTTTTGCTAATATCAATTAAACTTTAGAGTTTAGAGAGACCTTTTTATTAGTATTCAGATGTTTTATGGCGAAGTTTAAACTTCAAGTCTGAAATGAACTTTGCTGTAAACGTTTGAATCTTTTATGTTTTCATCGTTTAGTAGTAAAATAATTGAGTTATAAGTATTTATCTTTTATCTTTTTGTTTGATTTTTCACATTACGGAATTATTTACCTTGAAATGTTTAAGGTGACCTTGGCCGTGATCGAATTAAAATAAAACTATGGCATTTTTCTTTATTTTTAGGTACAGAACGTTTTATTCCTTAAATACATATAAGACGATATTTAACTAGCTTCCGTAAACAATTTTTTATAACAAGATTTTTGTTTTCATCATACAACAATGTTCCTAAGTAATAAAATTGTATCTTCATCCCTTTATCCTGTGGAGAGTCGGTAGAGAACTTCCCAATACATATCTCTTAATGTACTCCTTGAGCCCGTGCCGGACGCACCGCACGCACTGCCCGTATAATAACAGGGATAGGTTTCTTTGTATTGCTACTAGATGTCGCTTGCCATCCTTTTCGCGTGGTATTAAACAAGTATTATCCTATGTGTTCTTCCAGGGTATGTTGTACATCTATGACATTCAGCGAGATCCATGCAGCCGTACTGGAGATACCTTCTAACAAACATCCATGTCAGGACTCCGACACTGTACCGGTGAAAACAACACTAGTCTTATTTTAATATCGACGTTTATGTCCCCTCACTAATCATTTTGACTTGACTTTGTAATGTAAGCGCGTCATTCACGCCGAATGGTTCTAACTTACAAAGTTTAATAGTGGTAGAGCCCGTTTTAACATCTTCGCACGAATTGTCCCGGCTCGCCCGGTGAAATACCCACGACCTGACAGAAGGCAGGCGTCAAGTGGAAGCTATTCCAACTACAATCTGATGAGTGTGCGTCCCGGAGGTCTAATTTATTCCTCTTTACCTTCCCATCCTTTTTCTTATAAGGAAAGAATGAGAAGTAGAAGTGGACTTTCCGGATAAAAGGATGCATGAAAAGGGAAGATATTTTCTTTCTGTGCATACTCTCCGTCGATTAAAGGTAGGCAACGCATATGCAATTGCGTAGTTAGTAGTTTTAGCGATTTCAGGTGGCCGCTCGCTTGTTTGCCACTTTATGATATTAAAAAAAAGTAATAAGTAAGATAATATTGTTATTTCTTTTTTTTTTATAACAGAAGGGGGCAAACGAGCAGCGGGAACACGGAGGTGTTCAACGACGCCCATGGACATCAGCAATACCAGAGGAACCGCAGATGCGTTGCCGGCCTTTGAGTGGTGGCCTTTCTTAAATACTTTCTCATAGTCGTTTAACAATATATATGTTTTTAATCTATTAAATAATTCGATATATCATTTTTATTACTTCCTTGACTTTATATCAGATTGGAGAAGATATCCGTTATCTGTTTTTAATTAAATTTAAAGATTAAATTACCTTTGTGTATACGATTTATGGATTATTCTATCTTGATATTCCTTTATTGGAATGTATGAGTTATAAATTGATTAACAATTAATACGCCTAAGGTATGTTTCCACTGGGGATATGAAAGTTATATGTGATTATGGGCGTTACACAAATCTTACTAATATAAATGCGAATGTTTGGATGGATGTTTGTTTGACGGCTGTATGGATCTCGCTGAAATTTGACATAGATGTAGAACACAGTCTAGAAGAACATAAAGGCTACTTTTTTTTTAAATCTGCGCGGGTAGAGTCGCGGTCGACAGCTAGTATGTTATAAATTCGAATGTGTCGATGGATGTTTATTAGAAGGTATTATATCTCGAAAACGGCTCAATGGATCGTTCTAAAATTTGGCATAGATGTAGAACACAGTCTGGGAAAGCATATAGATTTTTATTTGATTACGCGTGTATGTGGTTTTGCGGGGGACAACTAACATAAATTATGCTTAAAATTATGTCGATGACAGTTATCGAAAAGTTTCGTACTAGGCCCTCAAATAAATTCGATTGCACGATCATAGTTGCTACTCTATAGTTTTTTGTTCCATAAAAAAGTAACCTATCATTAAAATAATAAAATACGTGTGATTTAAAACACTTGATAAAGTAAATTAAACCTTACGGCGTACGAAATAAGGTCTATTTTCTATATAAATATATTATTACCATAATTTGTACGTCTAGTTTTAGGCATTGAAAGTAAAATTTAATCCGCCCAGTAATTATAATGGTAATAAATCTAAATGCAGTGATGTACCTTAGAAATATATTAATATATCGATAGAATTTTTTTTCAATTTAGTACCTTCGTAATTGGCAAAATATGAATCGAAACGTTATTAGTCTATAGAAGAATAAATAGATATGTATTTTTTTCTCTGTTTTATATTTCATTTTCTTCTCTTCTCTTTTGTCGGTTTCGTAACAATTGGTTTTTCCCTGGGCGAGCTGTCAGCCGCCTCACAACCCCGGCGACTTTAGCGATCTCTTGTGTCCGAGGTCAAGGCCCACTTTTGGTCGCTACGCAACGAAGTAAGTATATTTCGTTTTAGGCAAAAGATTACACGTTTTGTTACCATAAATTAAACTAAACAGAATCATATTAAATTAATATATTTATACAATTTCATTATATTATTCCAATAAACATTTTTAAAAGGAATAAATTGTGTTCATTATTCAAGTTCAATCGATATCGATAACTAAATTACGTACAACACTAAAACTCAAAAATTTCGTTACCAAGCAATTATCTTAATAATCCTCTCAATCCTTGATCTCGGTCGTAAATCAAAATAATAGAGTTAATGTTTTTAATAATATCGTCAGAAGCTCATAAAATACATTAAACCATACAAATTGACACAACGTTATTTACGTATATATTTATGGCTATATTTAATTTAATTACCTTTGTTTCGTAATTCACATGTGTTCAAAATGTTATAAAAAGTTTTATTATATTCGGAAGAAGAATTAAAAACAAATAAATAGACACAAATCTTATAAATGAAATTGGTTTTACGCAGTTTATAAGAATATTAAATAGTGACATCTATGAATTATTTTTGAAAATAAAGTTAACAATTGTCCAAGATTAATTACTTTTAAAATTCATAGATGGCGTTAGCTTCGACGTTCCGATACATCGTGTACATTTTAATTATTTTGAAATAAAAAAAAACCGTAGTTCATCAAGTATCAATCACTATGTTAGGTGAATAAATACATTAATATGAAATGTAAAATAATAAAGAATTAATAAGTATTTTAGAATCGAGAAAAAAACATGTCATTGCGAGCTGTCAAACTTCACGCGCGATTACGTAATTGGCGGCAGTAAAGTCGGTTACAATTTTTTTTTGAACTAACTGCTTTGAGTGATTCAAATAGTTTTTTTTTAATTTATTCAGATTTAAATCCGGTTTCTAGTGAGCAAAAAGTTTTTAAGTCGGCCTACAGTGATGATAATCGAATTGCAAATATTACAATAATAAAACTTTAAACTCGTATGAGCGAATTTACACATTCTTTCAAGAATATTTAAATTATATTTTACACTATTAGATGTTTACCTACTACAAAGACATTCATTTTCAGATAACATGAACCAAAATAATCTATCATTTGTTACTAAGTAACAAATCTAGTTTGAAGCGTATATTAAGAGGCAGGTGATGCAAACTGCACATATCTGAGAAGAAATTCAAAGATATGTGTGAAGTCAACCCGCACTTGGTCAGCGTGGTTGACTATGTCCTAGTCACCCATACCTTAGGGTAGGCTTCGAGCCACTCGGTGGGGACGTATAGTGAGCTGATGATGATGATTAAGAGGCATTTATTTTCAACTAGCTGTTGCCCGCGACTTCGTCTACTCGGAGTTAAAAATAAACATAATTTCTAGCGTATGTATTCTTTCAGACTATGTCCTATATGTATGCCAAAT